GAGCTTTATATTTTCTTCTTAGATGTCTTTTTTGTATTAACGGTAGATTTGGTTATTTTGTTAAGCATAACTGCAATATCTAATAATATCATTTGTAAGTTACATATCATGAACGAAATAACTTGAGTTAAGGCATGGTAAGCTATAATATTTTGTGATATTTATATAGATTACCGCATTGAATCCAATTATTGCACTTATGATTAGCGCATTTTTTTCAATTTAGGACACATTTATTTATCATAAGCGCAACAAGTAAAAGTTATTGCAGACATGTTAAGAAATCTTATTATTTAAAATTTTAAGCTTACAAACTCTAATAATAACAAGTAAATTTATTTCAATTATTTGAAGGAAAAACAGACAAGATTTAAATGTCTATAAATACTAAATCGCATTTTTTCTTCGAATTATTGCGGCTATGAGATGTTGTTTTGATTTCCGAAATGAATTTGGTAGTTATTTTAATTTTTTTTTCTTTTTATAAGGCTGTGCTTGAACACAAACGCACCAGGTAATAATTTATTTATTTTATTCTTTTTTGCATCCTTAAACAAAAGAATACAAAGGGCGGACTTAATGCCTTGAGGCATTCTCTACCATTCAACCTATGGAGTGGTGAGAATTTGACGAAGGTGTGGCAATATAGAGTAAGAGAACACAATACAAATGATAATTAACTACATAATATATACAAACTACTAATAAATAAACTATACATATATGATCTATCCTTACATATATACAAATATATAAATAAATGGATATACATATTTGTATACATATTTAAATACATACATAATTAGTATATACAAATGACTATGAATATATACGTCTGTTTGGCAATACATATTAAATAGATGAGTCATATAAAATGCGTTGTCTTTAATAAATGATCACGGACCAACTTTTTAAAAGCGTACTTATTGGGACTTTTCTGATATCATCGGGCAAGGAGTTCGGTGTAGCCTGAACTGTGAAGGAGTTACCATAGAACCCGGTGAAGTGAACGGGAGTACAGATTTTGTTGTTAGAATAAGAGCGTAGGACCCTATCATGAGATGAGGAAGAATTTACTCTTTAGATAAGAAGGCGAAGATGGATCATTTAATATGGAAAAATGTACAAGTAATATTCTGGAGTTGCGCCTCTGCCGGATTGTAAGCCAATTTAGCTTAGATCTGTATTGCGAAATAGTCATACTTACGAAGCCCAAAGATAAACCTTATACAGTTATTGAGGAGGCATTCCAGCTTGTTCAGAAGATCTTGGGACAGATCTGGATAACACACATCTGCATAATCAATTATGAGTAATATAAGTGAATGGACAAGATCTTAGATTTTGTAAGAAGAAAATGTTTTAAACGATACAGAGAGCATAACGTGGCAGTGACTTTACGACTCACATCTGAAACCTGAGGTCTCCAATTCAGCGTGCTGTCGATGTGAAGACCAAGATTTCTAACAGAGTTACTGAACGGAATTGTAGTATTATCATAGTAAAAAGTAAAAAGATGAGTAAAAAGTAAATAGAAAGAAGAGATGGACAACGGCAAATTATTCCACTCCTTTGCTGTACGCATTTAAACATTTAATTTAATATAATACGCATTAAATTTAATGTAGTTCGAGATATTGATCTTTATATTCTGATTTCTAAAACTCAACAAAGAGAACAGCCTGTTACATGTCATTCTTTAAAATGTCATGAACTCCTTTCATTGTTTGACGAAGGTGATTGTGACAATAGTAAAGTTAACATGTTTGAGGATTCCGGAGATAGCGTCGAAAACAACGATTACTAACGTGATTGTTCCATGAATTCCAACTATGATTTTTACACCCGCAATGACTAGTGCAACAAATATGTACACTTAGTGCAGTAAATCACAATTAATCATAAAGCAACATCTAAGGACAATCACGGACGCCAAAACATTAGATCAGATGTTTTATCTGATTTTCAGAAAATACAATGAAGGATCGAAATCTTGATGTTATCACTAAGTAAAGAGAGAATATATAGTGCCTGAAACTAGCACAGGTGACCTCAAAGATGATTAATTGCCACACCAGCAAGTAAATAAAACAAAAATGGTAAGAAGGGGAAAGTGTCAATGATGGGCTATAAAATGAAATTGAAGATGCGTAAACCGAACAGAAAGCCCTTTCTTTTTCTTCGGTTTACGCATATCAAGTAAAGTCACCATCATCAACATTACCTGCAAATCAAAAAGAATTTACAAAATCAGGCCTACCAAGGAAAAGTCGTGCTTTTAATATTCCATTGAGACAACACACTTAACAGAGGAAAGAAAACGCTGATGGAGTTAGCATTATTGTGAAATGTAGAAAAAAGTGTATGACAAAGTTTGAACTAAAGTACTATGTACTGAAAAAAAAATCGAAAATATCTCCACGATCGGTAGGTTAATTTAAGTTGGGAGTAAACCGTATACCGCAAAAACCCGAATAAATACAGACACTATAAACAACAAAGAAATAAATGTTTCTTATGAAAATGTGAAGTTTGTCAGGTTATCTTTCTGACAACACTCGGATATGTGCCAAAGTAAGGAAGTTAATGATCAAAGAAACAATGGAGGAAGCTATGAACGTAAAAACTCATTACAATAAAACGTAACTAAAGAGCATATTCAAAGTTTCAATCCAACAATATTACATTATATCCGCGAAAATGCACCCATTAAGTTTTATTTAGCTTACCCAGCGGCTTAAATATTGCGATGATACATTAAACTCAGACATGTCAAACATATATTAAACTCACATTCCAATGCTTTTTTTAAATGTTTAGATTTAAGTTATTTAAGATGGACTTTTTACTTAAGATTAAGATTGATTTCAAGATTAATCTCATAATCTGCTTTAGTAGATTAGGAAAAATTTTTGTATCCTAGAAAAAAGATAAAAATTTTCTGAATGATATTTCGATTTTTTTAAAGTTATCTTGCTATTAATATATGTAATTGCAAAGTTCCTTAAGTTAAGATTACATATTTTTTGTGAAAGGAATACTTAAAGTGGTACAAAGGGGTTTAATTTTTATTTTTCGGGAGTAGAGTGATACTTTTGTAACATTTTTCATATCAATTAATTTAATAAATAAATATTTTCATACCTAGTAATTTTGTTTCAATCATTTTTCATATAAACTTATAATATTCTTACAATCAACCACCGCTGTAATGTGTCCGATTAAAATATTTTACTTATTAAAACCGCAATAACTAAGACACTTATTGCACTTATGGTTTGAAAGAAACTACAGAACATACAGTGTATGCTACTCAAAAGAGCAATTTGTCGGTTTACTAACGATAACTGCAATAAGTAGTCTACTTATTGCGATCATGATTTGTCACGCTCTGTCAAAGCAATTAACAGTCGTAAAGATAAATACATTATTCTGTTTTTAATGTCTATATAAATATATGTACAAATATAAGATGCTAAAAAGAACATCTTAGTACATATATTTATATACATATATATATATATATATATATATATATATATATATATATATATATATATATATATATATATATATATATATATATATATCATTTTATCTGTCGTATATCTTTAATTGCGATTATCTCGGAAGTAGCCAAAACCAAGTTATTGCACTCTTCATAAGAAGGGCAGAGTTATTTTTAGTAAAGGGATCAATGAACTACCTATGATATGGCGAAAGTGCATAGTTAACAACGGTGCATACTTTGATTAATTAAATATATTTTACAAAAAAAAAATGACTTTATATACCTCCCGTACAAAACGCCAATTTCATGTGTAAGGACCTATTATAACAATTAGGCGCCTGTCGTATATATTTAGCAAGTTTCTATGAAATAGCTTGCTGATGCATATAGGCTATCATCAGGTGGACTGTCTTATTCGTTTTTAGTTATGATAATCTGAAATTTAAAGTGTAAAAATAATGTGAAAGTTTGGTTATTGAATGCCAAATACGAGTATTTTCAATTTATGAAGTAGGTTTAAACTTTTTATAACGTGTAAAAGGAGATATTAATGTTCATAAATGTCATGGAAATTTAATGTAATACTTACCTACCTAAATTCCAATCTCATATAATAATGACCCGAGAAATTCTCATTTTAAACTGTAGTTGAAAATACAAACGTGATATTATTATTATACTCATTGACCTATTTCTTTTTACAATGTTTGTCTTACCATCAAACGGTATTTATCTGCCACATTTACGAAACAATATTTTATCTTAATTATAAAGTAATTTGAGAATTAAAGTCTTGGAATAAGTGTCGATTTAACTTTGTTTCCACACGAATAGTAGTAAAGTATTAAGTATTAATCTGGACTTGCACACTGTCACTTTCGGTAGCATTGCGTAATACGAGTACGAGTACGTACGTACGACGTTGTGTATATAGAGTGAAGGCAGCTGCAAGAGGTTATTTTGATCGCAATACAGTAGGTGTGTCGTGCTTGTGTGACTTGTGTGTATTATCTGCACTACAGTATCAGTATGTTGCCAATGGGTCATTGACAGGGTTATATTCGTGTTGAGAATTTATTTTTAAACTAAAACGTCTTAGATAAACGGTGTATTTGTTAAGTGTGAATACAAACTTAAAGTATACGACTATTTTATACAAAATTATATAGATTTTGTATAAAGTGAAGGTTAATTTTGTGTAAAATAATAAAACCTTCTTAACGTGATTATGGCGTTATCAATAATAAAGTTCTCGAGAGTTTGGTCCTCTTTATTTAATACGAACAACTTGAGAAATTTATCAACGACGTGCTCAAATAACGCCAAAGTACGTTTTAATTGGGAGGATCCACTTGACTTAGACGGACAATTACAAGAAGATGAAAAAGCGGTGCGTGACACCTTTAAAGATTATTGCAATGAAAAACTCATGCCGAGAATAATGGCAGCAAACAGGAAAGAAGTTTTTGATCGAGAAATTTATAAGGAAATGGGAGAATTAGGTGCGCTTGGATGCACTATTAAGGGTTATGGATGTGCTGGTGTATCATACGTAACTTATGGATTAATTACAAGGGAATTGGATGGTGTGGACTCAGCTTATAGATCAGCTATGAGCGTACAAAGTAGTTTAGCTATGGGGGCTATTTATATGTATGGGACTGAAGAACAGAAGCAAAAATTCCTGCCAAGGATGGCAAAAGGGGAATTAATAGGATGTTTTGGATTAACTGAACCAAATTTTGGTAGTGATGCAGGAGGGCTTGTGACAAAAGCTAAATACGACTCTAAATCAAAAAATTTTATACTTTCTGGTTCAAAAACTTGGATTACGAATTCACCAATAGCAGACGTTTTAATAATTTGGGCAAAGGATGAAGAAAACAAAGTAAGGGGATTTATAGTTGAGAGGGCACAAGTCAGTAAAGGTCTCGATACGCCTCGAATCGACGGTAAATTTTCTTTGCGGGCGTCTGCGACGGGCATGATATTGCTCGACGAAGTTGCTATACCGGAGGAAAATTTATTGCCAAACGTCGTCGGTTTAAAAGGACCTTTCGGATGTCTCAATAATGCCCGGTATGGAATCGCTTGGGGCGCACTCGGTGCGGCCGAAACATGTTTGCGGATCGCCAGACAGTACACATTAGATAGAAAGCAATTTGGTAGGCCACTTGCTTCAAACCAACTCATACAAAAAAAGATGGCTGACATGGTTACGGAGATAAGCATTGGTTACCAGGCATGTTTACAGGTCGGACGCTTGAAAGATAAGGATTTAGCAGCGCCCGAAATGATATCGCTAATTAAAAGGAATAGTTGCGGTAAAGCTTTAGAAATTGCTAGAGTTGCTCGAGATATGCTGGGAGGAAACGGAGTTTCGGATGAATACCATGTTATAAGGCATGTGATGAATCTTGAAGCTGTTAATACATATGAGGGCACACATGATATTCATTCCTTAATTTTAGGTAGAGCGATTACTGGAATTGCGGCATTTTAAAAAAAACAACAGCATTGTATTTATCTTTAATAATTTGTATAATATTGTAAAATATTTTTTATAAATATAATAGATATTGAAATGTATAATGTTATTTGTTAAATTACAATATTATGGTAAAGAAATGTTTATTTCATTCCGTTGCCCTCATTTTCTGTGATAGATAAAGACTTAATGAATTATTTAAATATTATCGGCACTATACAACGGAGAGAAGCACTGTATGATGATTTAAAGTTCTTAGTTTTATTTTATTTTTTAATATGTAAATAAATATTGTGTATTTTAATGCTTAGAATGAAAAAAAAAATGTTAATAAAATCATATGCAAGTGAAAAAGGGTAATATAAGGGTAATAATCTCTTTCAAAACAATTTTGGAGGCGCCGGGTATCGATCCCGGTACCTCTCGCATGCTAAGCGAGCGCTCTACCATCTGAGCTACGCCCCCTATGTAAATCAAGTTGAAAAAGATTACTTGTTGATAACAGCAGACTACATAAATCATATGTTACAAAACCTTAGAGTAATAATAATACATAATACATTTGCACACAAAACAAAGTTGGTATAGAATTAGTTTTCCTCAATAAATATACTATTTATATTGTCTTAGGAATGCAGGTGTTATTTAAGGTCGTAATTATTTACTTTCTATATTTTATTATTCAGGTCGCTGTGCTGGTGTTAAAAGAATATATTTATAAAATATCTGTATATATTCCTATATAAATCTAAACTGATATTATAAAGAGATTGATTGATTGTTTTTATGTTTTTTGTAATGGATAAACTTAAAAAATACTTAACCGGTTTTAAAACTTGTTTCACCTATAGAAAGCTACATTATCAGCAATTAAATAGGCTATATTTCATTAAAAAATTAGAGATCACTACGAACATTGCATTAAGGTAAACCAAGGTAATAAATAAAAGTTTGATTTGAAAACCATTGATGATATATGCACATAATGTACTTCATACTCATAGTACTGATCATTACCCAAAAAAAAGTCTGGTCTTACCATTATAGTAAAGTCACAATAATCCCTTTTTGTTCAAATTAGTCAATTTACAAGGGTAGAATCGAAACATGATGACATTTTCATTATGATATTAATCCATAACTAACTTAATAGTTCTGCAATCAAGGTTGGTTATGTACACTTCTATTAACGCCTCATTAAATTATTCAAATCTAACTTTTCGTATAGAAGTTAAGACGAGTATATAAATGCTAAAATAAGAAAAATACGTTCTGAGCCCAACAGTGTATATTAGTTACCTACATATTTCCTACACATTTTAGTGGTTTCTATTAATTTACATGTCATGAAAAAATCTAAACTAATATTATAAATAGAAAATATTTGTTTTTCGTTTGTAACGGATAAACTCTAAAACTCCTATATCGATTTAAAAATTTATTTTACTTAAAGAAAGCTACATTGTCAGTTAGTAACATAGGTGTCACGGCCCTCAGTTACTCCGACAGAAGTCGACTGAACTAGGGCCCATCAGTAACCCAACTCGACGGGCAACCAGAGGGTTCGGGCCCAAATGGCCTATGGATATTTATTATGTAATGGCTGGATAATCAAACACAAACTTACCGAATTCCGGAGGTAGGGTCGACCACAAGGTACCGTCAGGGGCAAGTAAATGGTAGGTGTGAGTGGTGTAAGAAGGTGTGTAATGTAACCTGACGTCACCGTTGTAATCGGCCAGCAGACCCACATGCGTTGCCCTGCTCCACAAGGTGCAATCACTCCAGTGGGCTTTCACCGTTATCTGAACTCAAGTCTAACGTCAATTAGCACAACACTATAATCGAAGAGGGACGCGATCTCCTCCTGGGTCACAAAGTTTTAGCGTTCCACCCGACAAAGCAAAATTCCTTCGTACGATATTAAAATATCACACAAGCAACTCGTCGACGCAAATTAATGGCAATCGAAGTTAAATTAATCACTCAAACTCAAAGAAAGCCTCGTTGTCACGTATACGAACGAAATAAGACAACGCAAAGGAGGCAGTTTTAACCAGACCAGGCAGACCTAGCGATTCTAACGTAACTTCACGACATCTAACCGACACGGCCGTCGAGGACAATAGATTCTTCCAGACTGACAGACGGCCGCAGCACGCAAAACGAATGCCCCCCGGCTCAAACCGTTAAATAGGTTTATCGCCCGAGACGAGCGTTTTCGCAAGTTTTAAGTTGTTACGATTTGGCCTAAATAACCCCCGTCCCGGGCATAAGGACTTATGCCCGCGTGTAAATTGGCAAACAGAATAGGGTCGCGACGGCACGTTGCAAGACCGAATCTCCAACCAAAACCTCGGCCACCCTGGGGGGTGCCCATACGGTCCATACGACAACTTAACAATGCACCCACGGCGCCAATACAAAGGCAAAGCGTTGGGTTCCTTAAGTAACACGAGGTCTCCAACCCGAGGAGCATCCGTTTTGTCAGACCACTTAACGCGCTGCTGCAAAAGATGTAGGTACTCCAGAGACCGTCGGTGCCAAAAACTCTGAGTCATTTGTTGCAGCAGGTCAAATCTGCTCAACCGCGAAGAGTTTATTTCCTTGAAGGAGTACTCGGGCAGGGCGTTAAGTGGCTGGCCAATCAGGAAGTGGCCCGGGGTTAGAACCTCCAAATCATTCGGATCGGACGATAGGGGACAGAGGGGCCGAGAGTTGAGTACCGCCTCAATTTTACAGAATACAGTGGCAAGCTCCTCAAATTTCAAAATAGTTTCGCCAATAACGCGACGGAGATGCGTTTTTGCAACCTTAACCACCGCCTCAAAAATACTGCCCCAGTGTGGGCAAGCCGGAGGGTCGACTTTCCACTGGATGCCCTTCTTGGACATCGCAGTACCTAAATAAGTCCTGTTGCTGGACAGAAATTCGACGACCTTTTTAAAATATATATCCGTGCCCTTATAATTCGTTCCGCAATCAGACCGGATCAGGTCCGGCAAACCGCGACGCGATACGAAGCGGCCCAGCGTGGCCACAAAGGATTCAGTGCTGAGGGCACTTACAAGTTCTAAGTGAACGGCCTTAGTGGCGAGGCACACGAAAACGCACAGATAGGCCTTATGTGAACGCGCGTTACGAAGGTTGGAGGACTTGACGAGGAAGGGGCCAGCAAAGTCGGTTCCGACTCCAGCAAATGGTCGGATGGCCCTGACCATGGCTGTGACATGGTGGCCTTCAGTTAATAACAAGGTATGCACTTAAAAAGGATGCTCCCAATGGTGCGTCGGCCAGCCAAAATATAAACTCCCGCTGAAAAATAGCCGAAAGAGCGTTACACCCAGCGTGGGCATTCTGAACATCATAGTGAGTTACCAGCACCCGTTGAGCAACGGTTCGGGCCCCGTACGGCAGTTGAGAATTTTTCAAACGTCCGCCAACGCGCAGCATCCCAGCATCGTCCAGGAAGAGGTTCAGGCGGGCCAGAGCGCTCTTGACAACGGAGTCCCGCTTCAAGGTTTCAATCACGGGCTCTAAATGCTCCGCTTGTAACATACGGTTCCAATGCATCAAGGATTCGCGACGCTCGCTAGGGGTCAAAACGGAATCAGAGATTCGGTTGGACGGGTCTCTCGAGTTGCGGACAAATCGACGCAACCAAGCAGTCACTCCTAAGAGCTTATCAAGAGAGCTGTACCGTTCTAGCAGGGAGAAATCTCGAGTGGGCTTATCCTTGCCCACTCCTACTCAGGCTCGTAGGCCAGGCAATTTAATCGGTTCGGAGTATTTATTCTGGGGCCAGAATGACTGAGATTCAATCAACCAACTGCGACCCCACCACAGCGGGTGGTCAACCAAAGAGGCGGCTTCACAGCCGCGAGAAGCGCAGTCTGCGGGATTCAACTCCCCTGGGACATGTCTCCAGTTTAGAGACGTGCCAGAATTCTGGATTTGAGACACGCGGTTCCTAAATAAGTCCTGTTGCTGGACAGAAATTCGACGACCTTTTTAAAATATATATCCGTGCCCTTATAATTCGTTCCGCAATCAGACCGGATCAGGTCCGGCAAACCGCGACGCGATACGAAGCGGCCCAGCGTGGCCACAAAGGATTCAGTGCTGAGGGCACTTACAAGTTCTAAGTGAACGGCCTTAGTGGCGAGGCACATGAAAACGCACAGATAGACCTTATGTGAACGCGCGTTACGAAGGTTGGAGGACTTGACGAGGAAGGGGCCAGCAAAGTCGGTTCCGACTCCAGCAAATGGTCGGATGGCTTCACAGCCGCGAGAAGCGCAGTCTGCGGGATTCAACTCCCCTGGGACATGTCTCCAGTTTAGAGACGTGCCAGAATTCTGGATTTGAGACACGCGGTTCGCCACAAAGACCTCAAGATTGTGAGGTGCAGCTCTGAGCCAACAAAGTATTATCTCACTGTCCGACCAAGCGTAGACGTCCGTAATGTCGATTACAGACTTCAAAGACGAGTGAACGTGGTTGAGGAGTCGCGTGAGAAGTGCGGCTCCGGACAGTTCCAATTTAGGGATAGTTAAGCGGGACCTAATGGGAGCAACCTTGCTTTTAGCAAGTACGAGATGGACGGAAGTATGGCCAGAAGAGCTCACAGTCCGCAAATATACGACAGCAGCATAGCCTTTCTCAGAGTCATCGCAAAATCCATGTAGGGTAGCCCTGCATTTTCCTGGAGGGAGAAAGCACCTTGGCATGGAGACCCGGTTGATGTCCGGAAGGGAGGACACAATGGAGTGCCACTCTTGCAAGAGAACACCACTTATAGGGTCGTCCCAACCCAACCCGGATATCCAGAGCTTTTGAAGAAAGCACTTAGCCAAAAAATGACCGGAGTGATCCATCCATTAGGATCGTAGGTGCGGGCTACTGTAGACACGTAGGGCACGTAGCGTTTGGTCCATGATTTGGGAGGGGATCGAGTTTGGCTCGATATGTGAAAGTGTTCTGAACAGGCTGATATTGAATGCCCAGCACAGTCAACAAATTAAGATTTTTAGGGTGCTCGAATCGATGAGGGTCTTGTTGATCCTCTCCTGGGAGGTTCTTCATAATATGAGGGGAGTTCGACAACCATTTGCGCAACTCATAACCTCCGGACTTCAGGATGGCAGTCAACTCGTCTCGCAATACAAGAGCCTCCTCGACGGTGGAGGCGCCCGTGCAAATGTCGTCCATGTAGACAGAAGTCTCCAAAATAGAAGCCCCCCGAGCATATTTTAGACGCTCTCTCTCAGCGAGTTCGAGGAGGGTTCGCATGGAGATATACGGGCTGGACCGGAGTCCATAGGTGGTGGTGTTCAACTCAAACACCTGTATCGGATCGCTGGGCTTCTCGCGCCATAATATCAGCTGATATCGACGGTCATCAAGATGGACCACTGATTGTCGAAACATCATCCGAATGTCGGCTACAAAAACCACTTGGTGCCGACGGAAGTGGGTCAAAATGTCGGATATGTCCTTGATCAATTTAGGACCAGAGTGGAGACACTGGTTCAGGGACACACCATTTGACGAGGGGACGGAGCCGTCAAAAACTACCAGAATCTTACTCCCAGGGGTCCTCAAGACCGCATTGTGAGGGAGGAAGTAGTGCTCCTGTGACCGCCAGTCGAAGTTCGATGGTAACATGTGACCCAGCTCTTGATACTCGCGCATGAACTTGACATATTTTTCGCGAAAGGCTGGGTCGCGCCGCATACGGCGCTCCATGGAAATCAACCTCTTTTCGGCCAGGGTACGAGATTGACCCAACGGGGGTCGTGAGTCAAGAAAGGGTAAGCGAGTGACAAAACGACCGTCGACACGGCGGCTGGTATTGTTCTGGAAGAACAACTCGCACTAACGGTCCAGAGGGTTGACTCGAGACGCGTGTGGTCCGGGTCGGACTCGGTCGTCCGAGGAGGTGGAGACCACAGAACCGGTCCAAAGAAACTGTGCCCAAATACAGTCGACATGGCTGACAAGCCATCGGGCTGTAGGGCTCGTATCTCGCCTAACAAGATGAACCCAGCGCGTCGGCCCCCAGCAACAAATCTATAGGCCCAAGTTGGGACCATTGAGGGTCTGCCGGTGTCAAACTCGACGCACAACGAACCGCGCTGTCATTTATACGGACGTTAGGGAGAAAATCTACAATGTCATCGAGGACATTTACTTTGACTACATTGCTTTGCGTGCCTACTGTTTTAAATAATCTACCTCTCGTTTAAATAAATACAAAATACTACTATACTATGGATTGCAAAACATGTCTCGTTGTTGTAAAGGAGGAGGACTTAATTAATTGCTCTGTATGTCGTGGCTCATACCATTACGCATGCATAGGATTAAAAGAACTGGATTTTAAGAAAATGTTACCTATGAACAAAATTAAATGGAAGTGTGTGGACACCATGTAAATCCGGAAAAAAAGGATAATAAAAACAGCCCAAACACACCTCGTCCTGAATGCAGATCATCGCAATCGCAATCTATGATAAACATCGATGCAAATGCTATTATGGAACATTTTGATAATAGATTTAATGCGTTACAATCTGCTATAGACTCCCTGAAATTTGACGTTAACGACAGGTTAACAGGAATATCAGCCACTGTTAATTCATGGGAGACTAAAATGAATAGTTTTGCATCATTAATTGCTTCGATAAATGAACAGATTTCCGATCTTAAAGAGGAAAATGATTAATTGAAGCAAGATTTCGACCATCTTCGCTCAAAAGTGACGGATATTTATGACTGCAATGACCGCAATGAACAATGGGTTCGCCGCTCAAACATACAAATAAACGGGGTCCCTGATAAAAAGGGTGAAAACCTTTTAAGCCTAGTGAAGTCCCTAGCGCAAAAATGTAATTTTACGATTAATATAGATAGTGATGTTGATTTCGTAACTCGTGTGGAGGTTAAGAATGATGTGGATAATAAAACGCCGAAGCCGATTATTTTGAAAATGCATTCGAGGTATAAAAAGGATGATTTTCTATCATTGTTACGTAAATTGAAGAACTGTAACGCAAGCGATATCGGTATAAATGGGACACAGAGTGGCTATAAGATATTTTTCAACGACCATCTTTCGGCACGAAATAAGTATCTCCTCAAACAAGCGAAGCGATTTGCGAAGGAGAAAGGCTACGTCTACTGCTGGGTACGTAACTGAACGATCATGGTGCGCCGCAGTGATCAATCGCCAATTAAATACATCACGTCTGAACACTCTTTAAACAAAATTGTATAAGTGCTATGGTTGTTTCACATTTTTCTTACTGCTTATTGTTTTTGGCTATAAATGTAACTGAATTATTTTTTTTAAATAAGTATTGTTTACCCCAGTTGTCAATTTGCTTTTTATAAAACTAACACTGCAGTATTGCTGCAAGCCCAAATATTTTATATTCTCGTTGTAAGATTCTATCAACTTGCTTTGGAGCCGGCAATAGACCTACACTTGAAGTGGTTTCTACTTTATTTGAACGTTCTATACTCGCAGTCGGAATATCAGTCGCACGCGGAACGGCAAAAGCGCGTACATGTGTTCGCTTTGAGCGTAAGCGAAAGGTCATTGTACGATAAGACAATGGCGTCCAAAGTGGTAAAATGTACAAATTGTAATATTGTGATAAGCGAAGTGCTTGCCTTTATACAAAACAAGGCAGATGTGATGGACGAGGAGAGCATTGTCCGAATTTGTAGTAGTGCCTTTACAGCTGAAGATATTACTAATGCAAAAAGTTTGCTTTTCGAGTCATTGCCCTCAGGTAAAAGAAAAAATATAAGACGTAGAGATGGAAAATTAACTCGGCGTACAGATGGGAAATCCCAAAGGGAGTTAGAAGACATCATTAGTCTTTTCAAAGAAACAGACCCTGATAGTGCACCCATTTTTGTTGCTCGTGACCTACAAAAACTTCCGCCGGTCACTTTCGATCATGTAGATGTAACTCGACTGCTGAAGGATATAGTTCTGTTGCAACAGGAGGTTAAGATCATCAAGGATAATTATGTAACCAAGACGCACCTAGAAGAGCTAAAGAAAGATAAATCTTTCTTAAAAACATCCACATCACCAGCTCATCATCATAAGGTAGGTAGAAGGTGCAGTGCATTCTTGTTGGATGTGGGTACTACGTTCGGCGACAGTGGGCCGATGGGCTTGTCGCACGAGTTATCAACAGCTGATGTACCGTTACAAACAACTGACGTACAGACAGAGACGGAAAAGATAGCTATCGCACAAGTAGCTAGTCGTGCTCGTGATAGTGTCGATGCACTCGCACCTGTGTCAGATATGCATAAGGCTGACCTCTTTACATCTGGAGGCGTGACTGCTTATAACGGTGCGGATGGGCGGCAATCATTCAGCGCAGGAGGCGCTAAAACAACTCCAATTCCAATGCAGAACTCACCGAGTAAAAGCAGGATGAATGATGACAAAACAATTGTAGTGAATAAGTTCTCTAACAATAATAACGCAATAAAAGATACATCTTGTGATGGTAATTTTCAGTCTTCGCTAACTATGGCCGAAATGTTGAAAAAAGGTGAAGCTTGGAAAAATGAAGAACCGCCAGAGGCCTGGATAAAAGTTCAAAAGCGCAGATTGCGTAACCGTTTTATAGGTAAGACAAGAAAAGCAGAAATAAAACCTGAGGAGAAATTTAAATCAGCGGACTTGAAAATTCCGCTATTTATATCTAACGTACATAGAGAGACGCTAGAAAAAGATATCGTTGATTATATTAGGAATAAAACTAACGAGTTAGTGACACTAGAAAAAGTGACTATGAAAAAAGATAAAGGATATAATGCGTTCAAATTATACGTGTCCAAACAAAAACTTGCTGTCTTTTTAAATGACAGTCTTTGGCCGGACGGCATCTCATTCAGAAGATTTGTGCATTTTAAGTACAGACATCAGGAGACCTCAGATAATGTGTAAAAAAAAAAAAATAAAAAAAAAATAAAAAAAAAAAAAAAATCGTTCATGTATAGTACGGCAAAATTTACTACTTTTAACTGCAAATCTGTTAAACGCTCTTTGGAATGCGTAAGACACCTGTGTGAAAAGTCTGACGTGCTAGCGCTACAGGAGACATGGCTTCTACCTGATGACATAACGTTTCTGGGCGAGATACATCAAGACTTCAGCTATACCGGTAAGTCAGCGGTTGATACGTCGTCCGGTATACTCACAGGCAGACCCTATGGTGGTGTGGCCCTCTTGTGGAGGAAAAATGCGTTTGATTGTGTCAGTGTGGTCGAATGTAGTAGTGTGCGTCTCACAGCAATTAAAGTGTTCCATAGTGAACGAACTTACATAATATTCTCGGTTTATATGCCAACGGATTCAGTAGACAATTTAATAGAATTTACATCGTGCATGAGCGAGATAAGTGCTATTATTGAAAATGAAAATGTCGACTCTGTATTTGCGTTAGGTGACTTTAATTCTCATCCCGGTACATTATTTTGTAACGAAATGATAAATTTTTGCACGGATCAGCAGTTGATTTGTGTTGATTTGGAGGTCCTCCCAGCGGGCAGCTATACTTACACTAGTGATGCGCACGGTTGTCGGCGCTGGTTGGATCATTGCGTTGTAACTGAGGCCGCAAGGCGCTCAGTCATAGATGTCACTGTGCTGTATGATACCTACTGGTCGGATCATGTTCCATTGCTGATCGAGTGCAATATTAACTTATTGAGATCAAAAAATATGGTAAGCTATTTCTGTAATAATAAAATAATTTGGGGTGTCAGAAATAATAATCAAATAGAAACTTATAAAAAATTGTGTCACTCTAAATTAAAAGACGTAAATTTTCCACAGGAGTTTATGAATTGTTGTAATAATATATGTATTAATGATAATCACAAATTAATTTTAGATAACATGTACGGTAATATTGTTACTATTCTTAGAGAATCAGCTCAGGCAAGTTGTAATAACAAAAGGAATAAGAAATATGTTGTGGGGTGGAATAAATACGTTAGAGACGCCCACGGGGAGGCTCGACTTGCCTTTCAAACGTGGGTCTTATACGGTAAGCCATCTTCGGGTTATTATTATAATAAAATGTGTGAAACAAGACGGAATTTCAAGTCAAAGTTAAAATGGTGTCAAAATCACGCAGAGCAATTAAGAATGGATAAGATCGCATCAAGTCATTCGCAAAAGAAATTTAAAGAATTCTGGAATCTTACGAATAAACTGAATCCCAAGTCGAGCCTTCCCGCTAATATTCAGGGTCACAACCAGCCTGGAGACATAGCCAATCTATTTAAAGAGCATTTTAAAGTAGAGTCACCGCGGGGTCCGTCATCGAGTTTAATCGATGGTGGACGTTTTGCAGGTAGATCGTGTGTAAGGATCTCTGCCAAAGAAGTTTTTGAAGTAATTAATTCTATGACTAGAGGTAAGTCACCAGGGCATGATGGGCTTAGCATTGAACATCTGGTACATGCTGGTGCCCATCTGCCAAGAGTGTTGGCTATGTTTCTAAGTTTATGTATAGCTCATCAATATCTTCCGACTGATCTCATGAAGACAATTGTGGTGCCTATCATTAAGAACAGAACAGGAGATATATCAGATTTAAATAACTACAGGCCAATCTCACTAGCCACCATAGTGGCTAAGGTGCTGGACGGTCTGCTTGACAGGAAATTGAGAAAACACATTCATCTGCATGATGCTCAATTTGGGTTCAGACCTGGACTATCCACAGAGAGTGCAATTTTATGTCTTAAGCAGACTGTTCGGTACTACACAGATAGGAAAACGCCGGTGTATGCCTGTTTTTTGGATCTATCAAAAGCTTTTGATCTAGTCTCTTATGACATTTTATGGCGAAAGTTACAGGAGGAGACTGATTTGCCCCAGGAGATTGTCTCCTATTTAAATATTGGTATAGTAACCAAATAAACTATGTGCGATGGGGTAGCAGCTTTTCTGAGGGGTATGGGCTGGAATGCGGGGTGAGACAAGGAGGGTTGAGTTCGCCTACGCTTTTCAGCTTATACATAAACCAGTTGATTGTGGAGCTCAGCAGCACTAAGGTCGGTTGTTCTATAGACGGAGTTTGCATAAATAACATAAGCTATGCAGATGACATGGTACTGCTGAGCCCCACGATAGGTGCACTCAGAAGGCTGCTAGGGATCTGTGAATCCTACGCAAAGACCCATGGGCTCAAGTATAATGTAACGAAGAGCGAGCTCATGGTTTTTAATTCAGGCACTAAAAAGGCAGCTCACCATGCCTACTGTTAAACTCTGTGATAGTCCTTTGAACAGAGTCGTCAAATTTAAGTACTTAGGCCACTGGGTAACAGAGGACTTAGAGGATGACTTGGATATAGAAAGGGAACGCAGGGCGTTGGCTGTTCGCTGTAATATGCTGGCCCGCAGGTTTGCACGATGTACTAAAGAAGTTAAAGTTACGCTTTTTAAAGCTTATTGTCAGTGCTTTTACACAGGCAACTTGTGGGTCAGATACAAGCAGCGGACATACAATGTCCTGCGTGTACAATACAATAATGCGTTCAGGGTGCTGTTAGGATTGCCGCGTTATTGTAGTGCCTCTGCCATGTTCGTCGAGGCACACACGGATGGCTTTCATGCCATAATACGTAAAAAGGTCCGCTTCATTAATGAATCGACTACGTACCTCTACCAACAGCATCCTGAATACACTTGCTGATAGGTGGGATTCTGCCATTATGAAACACTGGTTGAGCCTACATATAAAATTGAATAAATAAGATATTTGTAACGTAGAAGGATATTTAATTTGTTAAGTGTAAAAAAAAAAAAAAAAAAAAAAAAAAAAAAGTTAAATACTAACATTAGTTTTTAAGTACTTATTGTTCTACTAACATCTTTATGGACAAAGTCTGAAAATAAAGTATTATTATTATTATTATTATTATTATTATACGTAAGAAATTATTTAGATAAACTTAACATTTACAGTGTTACTAACAAAATACTAGCAGTCTGCGGACGAAAGTTAAACAATTTTATAGAAATATTCCAAACTCAGATTATGATATTATATGCATAAGCGAAACATGGTTGTTACCAGGAATCTACGATGCAGAGTTATTTGACTCTCGGTATAACGTGTACCGTAACGATCGTGACTATGATAATTTAACTGTTAAAAAGGGACCATGATTGCGCTTCTCGTCTCAAACGTGAGTATGCAGGGATTACGCAAATTACCTTTTATGTATGATGTTGATGTAACATGTGTTAATATTTTATTGAATCAGTCACCGAAGACATCAATGTTGAGGCTAATTTGTTGCTACTTCCGCCAAAATGATTATCAAGCGGCATCGGAATTATCGTTTTATGAATATTTATCTGATCTTAAAATTGACTATCCTAATGATAAGTTTTTATTGGTGGGAGACTTTAATATAAGGGTTGCTAGATGGGTCTCAAATCCCCAATCTTCAGATAGTAATTTGTATCTTGAGAATCCACAAGATAACATATTGACTGGTCACAATATAATCACGTTAATAATATGAACGACAGACAGTTGGATTTGGTGATTTCTGATTTGAAGTGTATTGTACAAAGAGTCGCCCGTTGTCATTTCCGGAGGATGGCCACCATCCCTACTTATATATTGACATAAGTATTGATTATGCTTCAAGTCTGTGTCCAGCCACCGTTGGTTGTATCGTTGGCAACTGTTCCGGCTAATGTATTGTTAATATTCACCTTAAATTCAAATGTAATATAAGAGCTGTAAGTTTCTTTGAATAAATAAATAAAAAAAATTTAATGTGAAGGTATTAGCTGGCAGGGCCAAACACCAACTCCGCTTGTCCCCTAGGAGCAGGAGGCTCGGCACCTCCGATACCTACCATTGGACGTGATTCAGAGCTCCGGGGGAGCCCTAGTCTTCCCACCAACCAAGTGGAGGCCACACAGCGTTGTGAACCCGAATCCAATAGAGCGCGAACCGTTAAACAGTCGCCACTCGGGTTGTACACCTTCACTGAGGCCGTCGGCAATGGAACAGTTTGACAAGTAGACTATTGACGGCTCAAAGGATCAGTGGAGGCGGCCGGGGTGGGAGCTAGGGCGGCAGCTACCTGGCTGGAGCTGCCTCCATCGGACCGGTACTCGAACCGGGGGTCCCGAAACGGCATTCCGGCGGCATCTCAATGACCCGTGGTTGGAAATCACCAAACGGGCCGACCTGGGAAGCTTCGGGGAACCTCGGCCTTGAGACCCGAGACAGATTCGAGGTCGCATCAACCCCTTAGTACCGGTACCGACCAAAGGGGGGGGAGGTTGGTACTCCAGTCGCGGCCACTCAGCCAACGGGGGTGAGAAGGGTCTAATGACCGCTGAGTGGCCGTGAAGTTCCCCTCAACACGCTGAGGGGGGCGACGACACCCCGCCCCTAGTGGGACGAACCCCCGAATGGGCAAGGGAGGGACCCCCTTCAAACCAAGGGGCACGGTGGCCGGCGGGGTAGCGCCAAGCGTTGTCCAACAGAGAGCGTGGCTGAGCGCCTTCGCCCGTGGGAGTTGAGGGCCCGGCAGAGCCCCGAGAGGAAGCGCCGTTCGCATCCAGACACAAAACGGTATGGTGGTTGCCCTGGCAGTGCGGATAGGGCCGCTGGTGCGGGCAGTCTTTTGGAGGTGCCTTTCCAAGCACGAGTAGCACTAGCGGCGCTCCTTGGCGCTGGTTCGCCTCGCCGGGACCGGCTTACCCAATAACTTCGGGCACAACGTCACCCGGTGATCGGATGCTCGGCAGTAGGAGCAGGGGAGCGCCCCCCTTGCCGCAAGACCGCTATAAGATGGTAGGGGGCGGCGGCCTCCCGCGGGGGCTCCGCTCGATCTTAGGGGGGGTTAGCGCCTGGTAGGTCGTCGACGGTGCCCGCTGCGTTCTCAATTTGCCGGCACTGTTCCTCCAAGAACCGCAGCAGGTCCCTGAAGGGCGGAATATAGGAGGCAGCGTCCCCGCCGTGTAAACACGGGCACGCAACAATCAAACACCGAGATCGAGTTAAGACTGATTTATTCATATTTACCCTCCACTATTACAATAATCTCTTACATCTCCCTTCTCAATAATATAAAACAAAATCAAAATAGTAATTTACTCTTGCATATTTTTATCACAAAAATAGTAAGATAATTTCACCATAAATAGCATAGCAATATATGTAGGTATATAATATTATATATATATATATATATATATATATATATATATATATATATATATATATATATATATATATATATATATATATATATATATTAAATTAGTTTATTATTCTGATTAATAATACATCTTTTTGAATTAAATCTCTCCAACTACTCATCTTCCCCTATCTTACAAATAAGAAAAATCAATTATGAAATCAATAGCAATAACATAATATATGAGTATGAAATGTTTATTTATATTAGATTAAATTGTTACTTATCGGTTTTTTTAAACTAATCAATTCCGTTTTATCAATAAGTAATACTTATTTTATTTTAGAAGTAATAAACCAATTACATTTCATTTCTAAAGTAATAAATCTAAAGTAATATACTAATTCACACAAATTAAAGTTCCGTCGGGAATCGAACCTGGGACCTTTGGCGTGATAAATGTGCAACCTGTGCTGCTTAACCAAATATATTAAAAAAACTATCATGTATGATTTTGATAGTGTTTACATTTTTTAAAATACTTTTATTTTCGTTATTTGTGCATACGTTACAATCTATAGTTTTGTTTTCACTGAACACGGTGACTGTGGCGACGCGGCTGCGCAGCTGTTCATCACCGCTATTCAGTGTTCGAAGCCTAATCTATCCGGTGGCCTCACTGTCCTGCCGGAACGTGTGACATAATAATTATTGTTATTTATTGTATTGGGTGGGGCTGTACAAGGTACAGTACAGTTTGAAACCTGATTGTTTTGCGGGCAGCGAGGTCGGATATCATCGTAATTGTTTAAATTTAAAGTATAGTGCGGCGCGTCCTGTCGATGTGGAGAATCTTTAATAATATGGCGTCTGTTACGTATGATGATGTTCCCGTTTGCTAATTTTATTTTATATGAACGATTTCGCAGCAGACATAATATTGTCCCTGACAAGTGAAACCATTCTCTTTTGTTTACATCTAGTAGTACCCTTACTTTTTGTCCGTTACTTAATTGGTCTAGATTTCTCGTATGTTGATCGTAGTAGCATTTTTGTTTATTTTGCCTCGCGACTAACTTTTTATGTACATTTTTTTGTAATTTTGGTTTTAAAGTGTGATCTAACTTTGGTAACATACTTCTGAATTTCCTACTTTGCATTAGCTCAGCCGGTGATGAAATATCATTTTCTAAAGGTACTCAATACATCAAGTAACGCCAACCGATAATCAACTCTATCTTCTTTACTTTTAAGTATTATGTTTTTTACAGTTTGTATCATTCGCTCAATTTGTCCGTTAGATTGCGTATGTGGCGATGCGTTATGTGTTTGAAATTCCATTCCAACGAAAACTGTCTAAACAGGCTTAACGAAAACTGCGGACCACAATCAGACATTACTATGTTTGGTATACCCTTTTTTTTTTGCGGATGGAAAATCATCTAATGACCCCTTTCGCTGGGTGGAGCGTAAGGGAGTGTCAGACTTTTACTGACTAAAAACCATCCGTGTTCCTTCAGTGCCCTTACGTTCCGGAGCCGCGCTATCTCTTTCGAACAGCCCGCAGCCCCGGCAGGCGCTGCTGACAGCTCTTTGAGGCGCGCGTGGAACAAAACGCGCCGTCGACACGGCCTGTCGTCGTTAGACGGACGGACGGCGAGCTACCCATTGCTCGCCGTCCACAGGCCCGCGCCTACGGTGGCCGGGGGCCACGACGTAGCCCCCGACGCCCGGGGCGTCTCCCGCGGCGGCCGGGGAGGAAAGCTGCTGCTCTCTCCTTCTCCCGCTCCGCTACCTCCTTCGCTAGCATCACTGCTTCGCAGAAGCTGGTGACGGCATCCCATTCCGTCTCGCTCCGGACCATGGCTTCGACCAGGGCCGGACGCGAGAGGTCGCCGCCGCCTATCGCCGCTACGAGGACACGGCGGTGCTCCGCCCAAGCAGGGCACACCTCCACGGTGTGTTCCACCGTGTCCTCCGTTCCATCCTCGCAGTGGGAGCACCCGGGCGTTTTCTCCCGCCCGATTCGGTGCAGGAACCTCCCGAACACACCGTGTCCGGTGAGGACCTGCGTCAGGCGGAAGGTGAGGATGCCGTGGCGTCTCTCAAGCCACTCCTCGAAGAGGGGTCTTATCGCCGCTATAGTGGCGTGCCCAGCACGGGGTTGCGACAGTCGCTCTCTCCATGTCGCCATGAGATCGTGCCGGAAGTCTATCCGCTGCGCGACAACTTGCCGCGGCAGCGGGGTTTCCCCCTCGGCGTAGTGCCTCCGCGCGCCATTCGTGCAGGCGTGCGAGGACTACCGCCTCCAGATCCCATGGCGGCAATCCGGCAAGGAGGCTCGCCGCCTCGCGGGAGATCGTGCGGTAGCCGCGAACCATTTTCACGGCGACCACCCTTTGGGGCGCGTTCAGGTGGTGGACGGCAAGCCGCGCCAAACCACGCGCCCACACCGGGGCCCCGTAAAGGGCCATGGATCGCACGATCTCCGCGTAGAGCCTCGGCAGGAGGCGTTTGGCCCCCCCAGGTTCGGCAGGAGCCGCCTGAAGGCAGCCCCGGTCCGTTCCAGTTTGGGAGCCAAACGTCGATGTTTGGTATACCCTGACGACTGAATATGTTTTTTAGGGTTTCAATTATACTAGCTGAAGTTGTACCATGTAATTTTTCTATTTCAAAAAACTTGCTATAATAATCGAATAATAATAAGTAATCCACGCCTTTTATTTGAAGTAGATCTGTACCTACTTTTGCCCATGGTCGGTCGGGAATTTCGTGAGGTTGCATCTCTTCCTTTTGGTTGTGCTTCCTGTACGTTAGGCATATACTACAGTTAGAAATTAAATTTTTTAAATCGTTATTTATTCCTGGCCAAAATATTGTCTCCCTTGCCCGCAATTGACATTTTTGCAACCCTACATGACCCACGTGTATCTTGTTTAATAAATCTTTTCTTAAGAGTTTTGGCACCACTATCCTTTGATCCTTCCAGACTAGACCATACGCGATTGATAAATACTCTTTATAGCCCCAATATGGCTTTACCAAATCTATGACGTCATGTTTGTTTGCGGGCCACCCCTCTTTTATGTATTTTCTCAACAACATGAGTTCTTCATCATTTTCTGAACTCTTTTGCAACTTAATAAACTGTAAGTCCGTAACTTCAGTCGCTGCGCTCAATGCCAAATCTCTTGTGATCGCGCAAACTTCAAACGTGCTGTGTATAGTCAGCGCTGGAATTCTGCACGCTCAGCGTCGGCTCCGGCTCGTATGCCCGTGATAACGTATCCGCAATAAACAGATGTTTACCCGCCTTGTAGACTAATTTGAATGTATAGCGTTGAATTTCATTAACATCCGTTGTAGGCGCGATGGTGAGTCCGCTATTGGTTTCTTCATAATGCTAACGAGTGGCTTGTGATCATTTTCGATAACTACATCTGTTCTTCCGTAGATGTACGCGTGAAACCTCTCACAAGCAAAAACGCAAGCGTATAACTCCTTCTCTATCTGAGCATATCGCTGTTCTGTTTTTGACAATGACTTAGACGCATAACAAACTGGCATTCCTTTTTGCATTAGACAGGCGCCTAAGCCGCTTTTGCTCGCGTCTACTGAGATAGTAATAGGGAGGTCTAAGTCGTAATATCTTAACACTGGTGGTTTTGATAAACACTCTTTTATAACTTTTAAACACTTATCATGTCGTACATCCCAGTGCCATTCTGTTTCTTTTTTTAAAAACTCTCTCAAGAACAATGTTTTATCAGATAAATTTGGAATAAAAGCACCAACGTAAGTAACTAGTCCTAGTAATCGCTCTACGTCCTTTTTATTTTCAGGTTTAGGCATGTTCGTAATTGCTGTAATGTGTGAGTTGTCGGGATAAAGCCCCTTTTTTGTAATCCTATGTCCCAAATACCTGATTTCTTCTAACCCAAATTTGCACTTATTTTTATTTAGTTTGAGGTTGATTTTCCTGCACCTGTCCAATACTAATTTTAACCTTTCATCATGTTCTTTTTTGCTACTACCATATATTAATAAGTCGTCGATGTACATACAAACTCCATCCAAGTCCTCAAAATTTTCGTATATTTTTTTATGAAACACCTTTGGAGCCGAGCATATGCCATAGGGTAATCTTAAGAATTTGTAACGTCCAAAGGGAGTGTTGAACGTGCACAACTCGCTAGTATCGTCTAAAGCCACCTGCCAGAACCCCGATACCGCATCCAGAGTACTGGAATACCTAGCGCCGGAAAGTTTTGACACAATCTCGTCGAGTGACGGTAACCTAAAATATTCTCTTTTGATCGCGCTGTTTAATTCCTTCGGATCAAGCCAAATCCGTATGTCTCCGTTAGCTTTTTTTAACAATAGTTATGCTACTTACCCAATCCGATGGGCCCTCTACTTTGGCTATAATGCCTTGTTTCTCCATCTCTTCCAATTTCATCTTAATGTTATCTCTAATCGCGAACGGTAGTTTCCTAGGAGCATGAACAACCGGTAAAACATTTTCATTTAATTTTATTCTGTATTTTCCCGGTAAGCATCCTATACCCTGAAAAACGTCGTCATACTACCCTAAAATGAGGGGACTTCGTTATCCTCCTGTATCGTCATCACACGCCTCACCACATCCAACTCACTGCACGCAAACCTGCCCAAGACCGGCATAGACTTAACATCTGCTATTTTAAATTCTAGTATGTACATTTTACTTTTGTAATAAACTTTTAAAGTAATTTTTCCCACTACTTTTATGGCGGCACCCGAGTAGCCAGACAACTTGGTATTTGTTTTTAGCAAATCTTTATCCGAGATCCCAATTTGTGGCAAATAATACAAAGGCAATATATTAACATCAGCCCCAGTATCTAATTTAAAGTTGACAGACTTATTATTTATCATCAGGTTAACATTCCACTCACTACTAGATTTTACAGTATGTATTACCTGCTCATCAGACTCCTCGACATTGAATACACTAGCACCACAGGCTCTGGCAAAGTGGTTCATTTTCGCACATCTTAGACACTGTTTGCCATCGGGACATTTGACTTATTATGTACACTGCCACAATGCCCACATTGCTTCATCCAAGGCATCAAACCCGTGGAGGAACGTTCGCCGCGAGCGCGCGGCGACAGGCGCCGAGCCGGGCGGGTTGCTCCGCCGCGCACGCCGCGCCCGCCTCTTCGCGCGTCCCCGCTTACGCCAGCTGCGCCGCCGCGATATCCTTTCCTTGAATCCATCCGGTGCCGCACACTCCAAATATTCTCATCATTTTCGACCGCTTGATTATTATTGATAGAACATGCTGATAACTGCTCCTGTTTAATGTTATCCGCATACACCCTCGATACTATTGCGACTCGACATATTTCTTATGCTTTACTTAAAGTAAGATCGTCGTTCCTTAGTAGCCGTTCCCGAATAGCCGAATTGGATATGCCACATATCAGCCTATATTTTATAAGACCGTCGTTTAGAGCCCCGAATTCGCATGTTTGAGCCAATTTCTGCAAGTCGAAAACTTATTGTTCTATGGTCTCATTTTCCTTCTGGTTTCTTGTAAAAAATCGGTGTCGTTCCACTGTAACATTAGGTTTTATATTAAAATATCCATCCAATATTTGTAACACAGCTTCCGCAGTAGTGCATTTTAAAAGTAAACCTTTGTTTTGGTCTAGAATATCTCGGCACTGATCACCAAGTACGTGCAATAATATATTAATCTGTACACTCGCCGCTTTATTCGTTATTTCACATGCCTTTGTATAAATTTCATAGCTATTCCTCCATTTTGTCCAACTGGCACTTAAACTTGCATAGTATGAGCTCCCGTTGAAACGAAATGGTTTTGGTGGACTTAAGACACCTTTCATAATTATAATGTTATTAAACTAAACACTGTTCAAATTAACTTGTAATATACTTAATAAACTTATTTATCCTACCGACTGCGCCATGTAAACACGGGCACGCAACAATCAAACACCGAGATCGAGTTTAGACTGATTTATTCATATTTACCCTCCACTATTACAATAATCTCTTACACGCCGTACCTCTCCTCAAAATGGATCCGAAGATCGAGAGGCAGGCGGGAAAGCACGATGTGGAGCAACAAGGTGGACCATTCGTCCACCGGTAAATCCAACCGCCTCAACGAATTACAGGCTACCACGACTGGATTTACGATATCCGGACGTAGTCTGGCCCGGTCCCTAAGCAGCGGGAGGTTTAGAAGCTGCCTAACGTATTCGTCCGCAATACGCCGGATGTTGGCGTACCTTCCTGCGAGGAGGTCCCGGGCGGCCTGGTAGGCTTCGTCCGACAATTTCAAATGGCCGAAAACGCCCAGGGCCTCCCGATCCAGTGAGGCCAGGAGGTACGCCATCTTCTGGCTTGGTGTCAAGTCCCTCCGGGCGTCCACTAGGCTATCAAAAAGGCCAACAAAGGTCAGCCAGTCGGAGAGGACCCCGGAGAACCTTGGAGTTGGGAGTCGTCCCAACAGCTCCGGCTGAGTACGCTGCTTCCGAGGGGACTCGGGCAGGCTACTTGGCGGAGCTTCACGCGCTTCACTAGCATACTTGGCCCCCGCCTCGATCAAGTCGTCCGTGAGCGAAAAGATTTGCTCGTAGTCCGCGAGGCAGGAGTCTAGGACTCCCTGTTCCGCATCCGAGGTCAAAAACTCAGTGCAAGCCTCCTCCTCTACGGCCCTTCGGGCCATGACCTGCTCGAGCCGCTTTTATAAACTATGGACCCAATCGGGTCGCCCTATCAAGGTATAGGCATTCGCGGCCCAGCGCAGCTCCGCCTGCAGGCGAAGCGCCGGTGGCTTGTGCGGTGGGATCATTACTAAATACAAATTACTATGAAATTAAATTAAATACAATTACACTACACGGCAAGTAAACACTACAGTCGGTCAGCAAAGATGCCCCGCTCAGGAGACCGACCCTTCGGCAATTTAATCTAATTACCCGAAATACCGGATGCGTAGGTACCTAACCCTAAACTACACTCCTGCTTGCTCAGTCTAACGGGCGTGGTTCTAACCACCGATGCGCTAACAAAACAAAAAAAATATTATATTACGGCCGGGCGTGATTGGAGAAACAATCAACCACGCTCTGCGTGTATTAGTTACCTACATATTTCCTACACATTTTAGTGGTTTCTATTAATTTACATGTCATGAAAAAATCTAAACTAATATTATAAAGAGAAAATATTTGATTTTCGTTTGTAACGGATAAACTCTAAAACTCCTTTATCGATTTAAAAAATTATTTTACTTAAAGAAAGCTACATTGTCAGTTAGTAACATAGGTGTCATGGCCCTCAGTTGCCCCGACAGAAGTCGACTGGACTAGGGCCCATCAGTAACCCAACTCGACGGGCAACCAGAGGGTTCGTGTCCAAATGGCCTATGGATAATTATTATGTAATGGCTGGATAAGCAAACACAAACTTACTGAGTTCCGAAGGTAGGGTCGACCTCAAGGTACTGTCAGCGGCAAAAGTAGGTGTGAGTGGTGTAGGAACGTGTGTAATGTAACCTGACGTTACCGATGTAATCGGCCAGCAGACCCACACGCGTTGCCCTGCTCCATAAGGTGCTCCAGTGGGCTTTCACCGTTATCTGAACTCAAGTCTAACGTCAATTAGCACAAAACTATAATCGAAGAGGGACGCGATCTCCTCCCGCGTCACAAAGTTTTAGCGTTCCATCCGATAAAGCAAAATTCCTTCGTACGTTATTAAAATATCACACAAGCAACTCGTCGACGCAAATTAATGGCAAACTCAAAGAAAGCCTCGTTGTGACGTATACGAACGAAATAAGACAACGCAAAGGAGGCGACGACATCTAACCGGCACGGCCGTCGCGGACAATAGATTGTTCCAGATTAATTGGCATGGCCGCAGCACCCAAAACGAATGCCCCCCAGCCCAAACCGTCAAACAGGTTTATCGCCCGAGACGAGCGTTTTCGCAAGTTATAAGTTGTTACGATTTGGCCTAAACAATAGGCTATACCTTTTTTTAAATAGGAATTAAATAAGAATGATGAGTATACAGTACCGGAGACCCTTTTTACTGGAAACGAGGCATTCCATTTTAGTTCTCACGGGTGACAACGCATCTGAATTTTGATTCGTAATCGAGGATATATGAAGATGTCTACGGGCCACAGCAACCATTTTAATGGTAAGTAATTACCGCCGCACAAGAACAACTGCAACACCAGAGGAATTGCAGATGCGTTGCCTGCTTTTAAAGAAAGAAGTGGACTCTTTCCTTGAAGGTTCGTAAGTCGTATTGGTCCAGAAAAATCTGTGGTGGTAATTGATTCCACATTGGAGTTGTGCGAGAAAGATAACTTTGTTTAAATTGAAAAGTGGTTGACCGCCAGTCATCCAGATGGTATGGATCGCGACTTTTGTGGCGATGTGCGATGGTGAAATTATGAGGTTGGAATATGTCCGAACAATTACTCGGAGCACTCCTTATCACAGGGAGTGCGATAAAATACGAAAAAAGATGCAACATCTCTTCGCAGTGCCAGTGAGTCCAGCCGATCAGAAAAAGGTCGGTCGACAACGATTCAAACGACTCTGCGCTGGATGCGATCAAATGGAAGGAGCTGGCACTGGGGAGCACCAGCCTAAAGATGGGAACAGTATTTCATGTCCAGTCGAACCTACACCTTGTAAAGTTGCATATATATATATATATACATATATAACGTATAAAAACCTTGAACTGTTTCGTCTGAACGCCATTATCTCTGGAAATACGTGGAGGTACCTCATAGAAATTTAACCCAACACAGTATTGCGATCGTCTTCCTGCAGTCGGACAACTTGCGTACATTACACGTATTTCGATACCGACAGACCTATTTATAACTTTACAGTGGCTTCAGTTCCCTGTTAAAGTATCGTTTGCTCTCAGGATAAATAAGTCCGAGGGAAAAAAAGCTTTCTCGCTGATAGGCACGAGCTGAGAAAAGAATGTTTTTTCATGGACAATTATATGCTGATCTGTGTCGAGTTAGATCTTTTGAAAATCTATATATTCTCCTATCAGAAACCAACACCACTGAAAATACAGTTTACACAGAAGCTTTAAGGCAATTTAAGATTTTATAATACCATATTAATCACAACTTTTATTATTATTATTGACATCTTAGAGTTTGACAACTATTACCCCTGATGATGAGCGATGATGTAGTCGAAGATGAAACACACTTGCCTGAAAGTAATCTATTCACACTTGACTAAATAGCTCCCAGATTAGCGCTATCAGGAAACACAGATTCCTGCAAAAAATTTCAGTCCTTAGGTGTACTTGAAATAAAAGTAGTCCCAAAACGTTTGATTTAAAACTTTGGACTTGCTGCCTGCCACTGCGCTGCCCCAATGCGAGTTGGCGAACTTCATAAGTCTTCAAAATATTATTTTTTCTTATTTCTCAATCATGCAGGTTTCCTCACGATGTTTTTTTTCACCGTCGACTACCTGGTAAATCAGCAGTTAAAATTGCAATTACCAATTTCATTGGTGCTGGCGGAGATCAAACTTAGGTTGCTCACGTACTGTGAAATTTCTGGTGCGTTTAGATTATCGGTACGAGCAACGCGTTTATATATTTATTTGTATTCATTTAACGTAGATCTTGTAACACGCATGGCATGTGTCTCGTTGCGAGGACTTGCAGAAAGTCAATGGATGCAGAAAACTCAGAACTGTGGTTTGTGGCATTCCTTGGTGGCCTATGGTTAGCAGTGGACTTGTGAAGGACTTTAATGATGATGAAATATTTTATTTTCATTTATATTTATTCAAAAATGATTTCTAAGACCTCATATCACAGGTTTTCCTTGATTTAGTCCTATAAAAATAGTGGATTCTTTGCTCCAATCCATCACATTATTATTTTAAATTATTTTATAAAAAAAATTCAAAAGTTCACGGGTCATGCGAATAATGATGAGTATGTAAACACCGACACGAATATATACAGGAGCATTTCTTTCCCTTGTGACAAAAAATAGACACCGAGAGTAGAACAAGCGAGTACTCGGGCCGAGTTGCGAGATCACACGAACAAGGCGTTTACATAATTTTTAGTTTAAAAATTAATCGTACTCGTGCTTACTCGTCTATCCTCGGCAAACGTATATAAGCCCCGTTTACATTTTTAAAATTGACAAGTGCGAGTGACAATGACAAGTGTTTAGTGCGTGTGAACAGGCAGTGACAAGTGCGAGTGACAATAATCTCTCAGTCGCCCACCGTGGCCCCCGTTCTAGCTGCGGCGTCAGAAAATACACGTGTTGGTGATAACAGTTATTAAATAAAATATTTTTGTAATAAAATATATAATTATTATTGAAACACGAATGTTTATACAATATTAAATCGCCGAATTTAAAATATAAAATGATGCGCGACGCTGCTATGCTCTCAATATCTCAAGCAATGGGAATGGCCGGTTTCGGCGCAAAAGAAGTATATAATGCGATGTTAAGAAGCATTAAGTTTACATATTACCAAGAAAAAAAGAAAATTAAAGACTCCTGTAGGTCAGGGGCTGGAGCTATATTATTTTTAGGCTTAAATGTTTTCCCTCTTATAGCTTTAAGACACATTTTTCTCACTTTACCGTTTTTAGGAAATTGGTGTGCACCCAATATCTTTGAAGTAAGGCACTTCACACATTTTTGGTATCTTATCATACAATTTTACCTTTTTTTGATTAAAGTTTTAACTTTTAAAGCTATGTATATATATACATATAGCTATATACTACTTTAACAATTACAAACCCAATTTCACACTCGAAGATTTCGCATAGTAATGACATCCACTTGCCACATGTGTGAACACCAACTTGCTATTTGTCACTTGTCATTTGTCAGTTGTTATTGCACTTGTCACTTCTCAAAATGTAAACCGGGCCTTACAGCATTACAGCGAGCGCTTAGCTTAGAAATAGATTAACTTATTATTGGTACATTAATTTTTAGTATCACAATTTGTCCAAATGAACGAAGTCGCGGGCGGATCAGCTAGTAATAATCTCATTAAAAATGACCCTTAATCCTATTATAAGATTTGAAAGAGACAATAAATAACAAAAAAAAAAAAACACCTCGCATTTCGTTTTTAATGAAGCTCTCTTATTCGTCTTTTCCGTTAATTTTAAGAACAGCATTGCTTTTATAATATATTAATTCCAAGTTTAACTTTTCTCTTTATGTTTGTTTTATTATCTTCCATGATTTCATTATCTTTCTTAATTAATGGGAATGGGAGTTAGAGGTTCGATAAGCCTACCCTATATAAAAAATAAATAAAAAGTATTACAATCTCATCTCATGAAACTTTTTATATACCTACTAGCTTCTGCCCGCGACTTCGTACGCGGATCCTGTTGCATATGCTAACTTTGATAACGGGGTCGTCAAAGTCGAATTCAAAGAGCCCGGGGACGGGAAAGCAACGTGATGCGCGAGACGATTCGAGACGTTCCAGATCTTTCATTTTTGTAAGTCAACAGGAAGTGCCCATCAGACTAAACAACTTTTGCTAAGACGTTATTCCTATATATGTTATAATGGCGCTGGGCTTTGGAATTCCACAACAGGTGTTCCAGATCTTCAAATTTATTTTCACAGCAGAAAGAAAATACTCTTCACGTGGAATATTTTATGCTATGGCACCATTTTTATATCTCTTATACTTTAGATGGTCTGTTGCGGTTCTGCACCAGGTGTTCCGTTTTCCAAAATAAATTATAACCTATATGTTGCCTAGACTTAACACCTATACAACAAAAAACTTTTCATCCCGTATATTTCACCGTTCAAGGTGCGGAATGCACCACAAAAAATCTTTATAAACTATAGCTGTACACGTGGTTTTGCCCACGTATCGGATAAGTATTTTTTTATTCTATTTTTATTTTAATAATAGTTAGTGATAGTTTGTTGATTTACAGAAACACTCAAAAGACGCATCCCATACTTATACTAAAGCTTAGATAAATACCTCAAAAACTATTTAGCTAAGTAAACATACAATTTGAAAGTTATGTAGTTAATTTACTGGTAAAAGACGTCAGGTTAATAAGGAAATTTTGGTGACGGCGAATATCAGAAGTGTTATAATTTACTGTAACACTTCTGTGTAAACAACGTTCGTTGCTTTTCCCTCGGTCTCATTCAATATGTACAGCGAGTCAGGACTGGTGACGCGGGAGCAAGCAACATACAGTTGTCCGTGTGAGAAGCAGCTCGTCCTGACGTCGACACCCGCAGCCTTCAGTATCTGCACTTGCGACTTATTTATTGTCATGGCGAAGCATACAGGAAACTGCACGCGCTTGAATTGAAAGGGGTAATTGTGGGGAATCAGTGCTATACGTGGTATAAACACTGTTTCGCCGACACCACAACCCGTTAGAATTTCCGCTTCAATGATATTTCTCTGCAGCGAGACGACTTTGAGCCGGGTCCCATTGCACAGTTTTGGCGGAGTGAGATTCCGAAGAAGCATAATTGGGACACCGACCTTTAGCTTAATGGTGTACGCTGGCAGTCCACTTGCACTGAGGGAATTGAGAAATTTTACGGGGTAATGTGTGGCGTCATCTTGGTCAACCACAGTGTTTATTGAAGTGTAGATCACTTCATTTTCCTCAATTTCCGCGAGAATGCATTCATTGTTCGCTGAAGCTTGGTCGTTTTTGGGTGTTAAAATGGCTCTTTCACACACCCAAGAATTATCTTGGTGCGGTATCCTATTGATGTCCCCGTACACCAGGCGAATCAAAGCTTCTAAGGTGGACACCACTCTCCCAAGTATCTCAGTTAGAACCACATGACCACTGTCTACTGGTAGCGTTCCCTCACCTAATTTTAAGAGAACATCAGAAAATTCTTGGGCGTGTACATTCCCGCCAAGCTGTGCTCTCATATTCATCTTTAAGCGCAACCAATGAATATGTGGCTATAAGAAAGAGCATTTCAACGAAGCATTCACCTCATCAGCCCTAGTTCCTTACGGCACCACAGGCAGCGTTTATCGGAAATCGCCGCTAAACAGAACTGTAACGCTACCCATCATTTGCTGGTTCTTGCGGATGTCCTGCAAAGTCCTGTTTACCGCCTCTACTGCTTTTCTGTTCGCCATAGTGCATTCATCCCACACGATTAAAGAGCTTCGTCACTGTTGCGTGACACTCCACAAACAGGTGTTTCATTACTCTCTAAATCTATGGGAATCTTAAACATTGCGTGCGCTGTTTTGCCACCAGAATGCAGTGTTGCGACGATTCCTGACGATGCTACAGCAATGGCAATCTTGCCTTGCCTCCTGACCTCTGCGAGAATGCCAGCGGTGACAAATGTTTTCCCTGTTCCACCAGGAGCATCCAAGAAAAACATTTTACCTTGGCCGAGCCCAACGCTTTCAAGGATGAAACTTACAGACATGGTACTCATAGCTCTTGGATCATAATTTATTTCAGAGTTGTACTCTCTGTTTCCACGCTCTTGTACATCCAGATGTTGTGGAGTCAGTAGCCCATAATCCACCAGAGAACTGCCGCCGATCGAAATGGCCATGTCTTGAAGTGAACTAAGGGAACTGTTTAGAACGCGCTCATCAGTTGCCTCAGTATTATCTCCAGTAGTGCATCTCGGAGCTCTTAGGAAGTCTTCGGACAGATGCCGATATTTATCCCACAACCGAAGTGGATTTGCAATACCGCAGAACACCAACATGACGGCAAACAGATGTCGCAAACGACCCGGACTGTCACTAATGCTGGCCTCCTCAAGTGCGTTGTCCCAGTGCTGATTACCATCGAGAAGGTGGCGTGCTACGCAAGCAGCGCGGTATGTGGGATACTGAATGTCATCGACTGTCCTTAGAAACGCAAATTATGTTAAAAATTTCCTTAAAAATTCTCGGTAACCCATCCACGGTGTGTCCGCGTCGATGTCGATTAAATTCACCTCCTTGCTTGTCGTACGTGTAGTACGACGGCACCTCATCATAGGTGAGTGATCTAGCAAAGTTGTCCCCTTCACAGAGTCTGAAAAAGGCCAACAGAGGTGCGGATTTTCCAATCTCGCTGCAACGTTATCAGGATCAAAATAAATGCGCTGGCCATTCTCTAAATGGACATCTAAATGCATGACTGTTGGATGCCTGTCGTGTATGAGAAGGCCAGTATCCGCCAAACTGCCTCAGAAGTGCTGATGTAGCGACCAGACTGGTACTTGGTCACTTCATCCCTGTCAGTACTCTGTAAAGCGAACGTTGCCTGGTCACTACCGTTGTTGACGTATTTACAGAATCGACTGTACGCTTGTGCAACTCGACGTTAATGTGGGTACTGAATGTCCTGGAAAGTACAGGTGAGTATGGAACTATTCACCTGTCGTTGATCTCGACTGCCTGGCCACGCATAGTTAACTCGGCACGACTGCCACCCTCAGCAGGGGATCGACGCCGGTTTGAATCCTCACCTGTAAGAGTTTCGCTGCTAAATCGCTTCGGGAACCTTTTTGAGCACTGTCCGTCCCTCATGCAAGGAGAATTGCGATTAAGGGCTCCGCAAGGACCATGCACCATATGAACCTTTACAATTTGGTACAGAACGGGGTCAACGTTGGGATCTGGCAACTCAGCACTTATGACATCATCGATCTCTTTGGGCCTGATTTTATCTTTCAACCACAAAAGCAAATGAGCATGGGGCAAGTCGCGTTTTTGCCACTCTACCGAATACATGTGGCATCTGGTAGCACTAAATAGTTTTTCTCTTGTGAGAAGATCCATCAGGCACTTTAATTTTAAATGAAACACCCGAGAAATCAAGTCGTGCCTGTCATGTGGCACCTGCCCTGCTTAGAGCTCGCTGGTTATTTCGGGCCACTTAGAGTTGGTAGTGATGGTGATGAAGAGGTCTGGTCGACCGTACATGCGCACGTAACAGAATGCGTCCTGTGTTCGCTCGTGAATGTACCGTGGACCTCCCGTAAAGGTGGAAGGGAGTATCACCATCCGTCCAACATTTTCCGCGTTGGAGTCCTCACGCATGGCGTCCCTTAGGTGCACGTAGTTTTCCGCCCTTAGTTTGTTGATTCGTTCTAATGAACACCAACTGCTCCGTTTCAATTTTGGCATACTCATCTACCAGAAATTGACTAAAGAGTGCACGGTAATAATAGAGATGAGAGTTGTCGTTGGAACGGAGCTGAATCATGTAACTGTAAAACTGGAGGGCGGAAGTCTTTTTGTTATGATTTGGGGCACCTGTCTGTGGGTCTACATTGTATACGGAAAAGTGGTAGCCATCCTCTCCGCGACAAAACATTAGGGGATACGGTAGGGTATCATAAGCGCGATGTGTCTCGCTGATACGCTGTAGGCGATTATCACGTGTGCGCAAAACAATGTCTCTTTTGTCGCATTCCTGGTCAACCAAGAGGATGGCTACCTCTTTTAACGTTGCTGCGTTATATCGTCCTGGATGGACTGCGGTCGGTCTTTTGTCTGTGCTAATAACGAATTTAAAATTATCGCACTCGTGTTCAGGCACCGATTCCAGAGCGGTTTTGAAATCGGTAACGTATGGGTTGACACTATGCAGAGTGTTTTGTAATCCCCTTATAAGGCTCAAGTCTAAATTAGGAATGTGTCGGCATTGGACATTAGCCTGTTCAGCAAAATCTGCAATGAAATATATTTGCAAACATTTCGGCATTTCGGTGGGAAGCAAGGAACCTATCCGATGGTACATTTACCCCTGAATTTTAGAAGTCGGCATGAATCCAGATTCAGTGACTTGATGAGCTCCAAATGAAGTCATCTGGAAAGCACTGTTGTAGGCTCGAATATTGCTTAAGAAATGGCTGGACTTGGGATGCTCGCTATTCAAAAGAACTCGTAAGTAATAAAAAATAAAAATATAAATTTCTTCGACACCTTCCGCCAAACAAATACAATGATGTGTCTTACCTGGATTGAAGAGCACCTCCCGCCCTCCCTCAATTGCATGCACTAACTCCGTCACCACTAATCCCAGCACCACTACTCCCAACACCACTATTCCAGGCAAGACACACCATCGACGATAATACGACACGTATTTCGTCTCTACACGAGGCATCTTCAGGCAATGTAGACTCTAAGGCGGCTGACCGCTAATAGCGGTGTTGGGATTAGTGGTGACGGAGTTAGTGCATGCAATTGAGGGAGGGCGGGAGGTGCTCTTCAATCCAGGTAAGACACATCATTGTATTTGTTTGGCGGAAGGTTGCGAAGAAATTTATATTTTTATTTTTTATTATAATGGATTTCCGCAAAGTAACGCCTGATTCTATCAAGAACTCGTAAGATCTCCGGTAGCTCTTGCATAGAGTTTAGTCGTACCATTCCAGACGCACAACACATTCCCTTAGTCTCTCCCTTCCACTTAAGCGCGTGACAGTGTGCACAAAACTGAGACATGGTGCCAATGTCTCCGTGTTAGATGTAATTAATAAATGGGTTATAGGAAAACGCGCTCCTTTCTTTATTGAACCACGGTTGCTCTTCAGGATCATAAACCATAGACTCAATATCAGATGAGGATGAATTGCGAAGATTGCGACGTATACGGTCTAGATCAATTTGGGCCACACGCTGTTCGACTGACTGACTTGCCCGAATTTCCTGAATCCGCTCACGTTCTTGCGTGGAATGAATAGACACTTCAACACGCATTTCGTGATATCTTTGCCAAACAAGTGCGTTGCGTTGCTCGTCTGTCTCCAAAGATCGAGCTAAAGCATGCTGTGAGCAGTCTGCACTAAGTCGCGTCTCATGTTCTTCAGGATTCTCAAGTGATCGAGATGTGGCAGTGCGAATACGTTGGGAGCTTAAACGCGAGTCTCTCTGCGTGTAAGTCTCCGAAGCGCGAGATACTGCGTGGCGCTCGCGATCGCTTGCTTGGCGTGTATTGCGCTCCTGACTATTCTCGAGCGACCGAGCAGTCTCAGTGCGGAAAAGCTGAAGACTTAATCTCTGCTCTCTCTCTGTTTCCGTTTCGGAAGCGCAAGATAAATGAATGACGCTCTCGGTCACGCGCAAGTCGTATCTCACGCTTCTGACTGTTCTCAAGTGATCGAGCAGTCTCAGAGCGGATATTCTGAAGACTCAACCTCTGATCCCTCTGTGTAACCGTTTCGGATGCGCGAGACAAAAAATGACGATCCCGGTTGATAGCTAAACGCATTTCTCGTTGTTCCACACTTTCCTGAGATCGAAAAGCAGTAGTGCGGAGTATGGACTCGTTTAAATTCTAATCGTAATTGGCGCTGCGTCCTTGTTTCTGCGGGCAAACTTAGTGCATTACGCTCACGGTTAGCACCCAGCCGTTGTTCACGCTTTGCGTCGGTTTCGAGAGATCGAACTAACCTGCGCATCTTAGAAACCCTTGAGTTTCTAGACAGATTTGATCTTTTTCTAAAAGGCTAAAAATTCCTTCTTAGTCCGATAGTCCGATATTCAAAATAGCGATGGACGTTGAATGAACGAACTAGTTAATTCGACAGTCTACGTACTGTGAACGAGTAGACGGTTTACGAACAATCAATGGAGTAGTCGAATCTTTAAACGGCACAATTGAAACTACGTAACGTTCATTTCGACTAGCAACACGACGACCGACTCGAGAACGTGGTCGGATAACTTTAGTTCGTATTATGTTCGTTGAAATAACACAAATAATTAAGTACAAATTTGAGGTTTTAAATTAAAATATTACTAAAATCTTACATTAAAAAAATAATGTACATAAAATCAATTGATATTCTCAACATGTCTGAATAGTGAATACGACATTATATTTAACTCTATTCAGCCATTCTTTAGCTTGGAAAAGTATGAAGAGAAGGTCAAATTAAAATAGATGCCGCCTTAATACATCATGACATTTACACTAGTCTACGGTCTACGTATTTCGACTATGTCAATCCATAGACGACGTCGCAGAGTCTAAATTTAAACGTCTGCTAAACCAAGTTGATGTAAACTAGTTGACAAATTTAACTAGTTGATCGACTAGTCGATGAACGAAAATGAACGGTTTAGTTTCGTTAACGACAAATACGTTGATGACCCATCGCTAATTCAAAACAGTGAAAATGAAAAGTAATCGAATAAGTACGTAAGAATTGCTGTTAAGAAGAATAATAATTATTCACAGGAAAAATAAACACATCAACCAAAACAGACAACAAAAGTACCCGCCATTTCGATAGGATGAGAGCGGCCCATCGGCATCTATAACATAAGGCATCTATAACATAACTTTTTGGGAATGAAACCATAGCGCGATCTAACTCAACGCCAACGACATCTAGTTAGAAAAAAATACATATTATTTACCCAAATGAATTAATTAAATCATGAATTAAAAATAAATTGTCGTTACTTTAACAGACAAGTACATTATTTTTGCATTAAAAAATATGGTAACAGCAGCAAGGAACAAAAGTAAGAATAACATACTTAAATTAATTACCTACAACAAATGTGCTTGGTAAGCAAAGACATTTAAATAGGTAGTCGTAATAGACTGGACATCAGTAACAAAATTGTCATCAGTAACTTTTGTCCTACAGGATATATCTACGATTTGCGTCATTTAGTCTAAGTGACATCGTCAAAAGGTCAAGACGCATTCATTTTATAAATTGAAAAATATTTTTAAAGAAAATATGCGATATGG